GAAAAAACCTTGAGAGGAACCAGACTGAAGAGGGAACCCGTCCTCATCCGGGGGACTCCAGATAGTGAAAATATAAATCATTCCTCTTCTATAACTGTATGCTATAGAGTCAAGCAGTGCTATGTGTGTTGGAAAGATCTTCTTTATAAGCAACAGGGTTTTTTAGCTTGAAGTCTATAATCTCCAGGTAAAGTTATCCACTGTATAACGAATGAGACTTGATATTTGATAAATCTGTGTGAGACAATACAGCCTTAAAATGCTGTTATAAATATAAATATATGTTTTAATCTCAAATTAAAGGCTACAATACAGTGACTTAAAGGTGTTTCATTAGGTACGATTTGTGAAAAACAGGTCTCTAGCGGTTAAATGGATGGAGTCGAATAAGATTCAAATTATTTTTTTTTTCTCATTGAGCATGCGCCCATTTCCACGCAAAGCTCTACCCCTGGATATTTTACCAGTCTTGGTGGCCAGCGTTATCTTCTATGCTGTGGTGTTGCTGGGGAGGTGGCATTGGGACTTGTGGTGCCAACAAACTGAGCAAGCTGGTGAGGAAGGCCAGCTCTGTGGTGGGGATGGAACTGGACAGTGTGGAGGCAGTGACTGGGAAGAGGATGAGAGGAAGCTGAAAGCTATCATGGACAATCCTTCTCATCCTCTCTGTGCTGAGCTGAGGAGACTCAGGAGCACGTTCAGCCTCAGATTCATCCAGCCACGTGCCTCAAAACATCCGGAGGGCTCTTTCGTGCCATCAGCTATCAGAATCTACAATGCAACAATACACAGTACCTCCTACTCCACTGACTGAGTCTCACACACACACACACACACACACTCAACGGTTAACTATCATTCCACAGATATTACACATGTATATAAATACCAAGGATATTGCACACATACATAAACAAATAGAACTCTAGCATATGTACATACACACTGATCTTTTTTTTTTATTATTTCTATTATTTCTATTGTGTAGGTATTTATAGAAATTCTTTTCTTTTCTTTGATGTTACTCCTCCTACTTGTGCTGCTGTGTCACCTTGAATTTCCCCTAGAGGGGATCAATAAACGTGCATCTTATCTTCTCTTAAAACTTATGGTGGTTCAATCAGAGTTAGCATTAGCAAGGACTGTCATGTCATGACATCACTTTGACGCTCACTGGGATATTCAGCTGCTTGAAAGCCGAGTCACAGCTCTATAAACATGCAACTTCTCCTCATTATGATTTATGAGGAGGTGAATGGGGTGTTGGGGGCGTGTCTATAAAATGACTGACAAGAGGCCAATCTAAATACAAACAAACATTCCGGACCGGAAGCCAGGTTTCCAAACTTGTTTATTTTCAAGCCACATAACACACTTGTTCTGAGACAATAGCTTAAACTGTATTTTCTACATCATTTTCCACATTATATGTGTAATATACTGGCGACAGGAGACCGCATGTGGTTGAACTTGAACTGGCTTCTTTTACTTGTCTGTTAATCACACGATCTTGCTGCAATAGCGCCTCACAGTGTTCACTTAATTATACTACAACCTATGCACAACATTCATGACAATATGTATTAGTGAGCGCTGAAAAATTATTGACTATTGCACCTTTAAGTCTTAATTCTTTGCTACGCCCAAAATCGCTCATGTTTTCGACACTTTTCTCACTGAGGCGGTTGCTAACAGCTAAACAGCCGACCTCTTTTTTATATATGAAGAATTCGTGCGCGAGCCGTTTTTTTTTTCCAGACTGACCAATCGCAGAGAAGAACTGCTTCGCGAGCGTCGAACACTGACCAATCGCGGAGAAGAACTGTTTCGCGTGCGTCGAACACTGACCAATCGCAGAGAATAACTGTTTCGCGAGCGTCGAACACTGACCAATCGCAGCGTGTGAATTTAAGCGAGGGCGGTGCCAGAAGGGGCGTATTTCTTTCCTTTTTTTTTTTTTTTTGTTATCCGAAAACGGGTGTTGAAAAAAAAACAGAAGAGCGCCACGGACGGTTCGTGCTTTCCCACAATGCATTGCGTCTCAGCGGGAAACCAAAATGGCGAGGCTGAAGAGAGAAAAACACTCGTTTGGTGTATTTTGAAAATCCATAACGAGCCGCGAGTTATTAAGAGAAAGCCTGCGGGAGCGAGGAAGCGGAGAAAGCCTGTGTGTTTAATGGTTTTTCCTGTATATGCATCATTTTAAGCGCTGGAAGTGGCCGAATGAGGTAACAGTGGATTTGAATGGGGGAGTGTGTGTGTGTGTGTGTGTGTGTGTGTGTATGAGAGAGGTGGTATTTCCTTTTTAAAAATAATGAACAATAAACATTTTATACCGAAAATGTCACCTTGCACTCCTCCCATTAACAGAGAAATTGTAATATTTACACATGAATTGAAATAAATGCAGAGTTTTTATTCTTCAGCTCACAAACAATAACTTACACACACACACACACACACACACACACACACACACACACACACACATTAAATGTATTATATTTTACATTTATCCTTTAACTGTCTTCTGAAACAATGAAAATCTTTGTCCCTAGTTTATTCTATACATTAACAAAATGAAAAACAAAGTCTTTTATTCTGTTTTCTCTCTCTGTTTATTCTGTACAAGTCTCCAGTTTTTATATTTATAATAATTATTATTTATTATTCTGTATTACTCTCTAATATATATATTGTCGAATATGTACACTAATTAAAATTACAAATAAAACCCAGAATATTTCTATTAATTACTAGACTATGCTTAATCCATCCGTTTTGAAAAAGGTGGAGATATCTGATGTTCTGTAATTCACAAAAAACTGAGGTGTAAAATCTTATAAACTACACGAGATGTTTACACGACAGCGATTTATTCATTTCTGCAAAATGCTCGAAAAGTCGTCGACTAATTTCTCGCATCGAGTCGTCTTTCACTTTTTCTTTAGATAAATTTGGCAGAAATAGCTGTATGTATTTTTTCTGTCTACATTTTTTTAAAAATATATTATGCTTTTCCTTTTTTCAACCCAATTAGCTGAATGTTTAAACAAATATGTATAAAAATATTATAAATCACATATTTACATGATATAATAATAAATTTTTTTCTTCAGAATGGTCGTACAGTCATCGAATAATATCTGGCATCAAGTTTTTTGTTTTTTTTTAAGATGTTGCAAAGAGTGTTATATTTATAATATTTATGTTTGTCCTTTTTTTGTTTTCTTTCAACCAAATTAGTTTAATGTTTAAAAAAACATGTATAAAATATTTTACAGTTTACATCTATATACCTGAACAGTTCAGTAAGTTCTTTATAAAAGGTCATGTGATCTTCGATGTTTTTGTTTCTCTATTTTTAACTAAATTAGCCGCATGTTAAAAACGCATTCACGTACATTTTCGTGTTTTATTTTCGCTTGTTTTTTTTAAAGATTTTTTTGTAAATGTGGGATAAAACTATCTCCGCTGTTATGATCTCGGATGTCATGTACCGTGAGATAATAATCGTGGCGTAATTCCACGTCATCACACCACCCTGTCGTTGATTATTTTCCTCTAACGGCACGACGCGTGACGCGGAGTGTTTTACTACTTGTTTAATAAATACTTTGTGAATTAATGTTCTATTCGGTTTTTTTTTTCCCTACAGAGACTCAACGGTCGTAAACAGTCCGAGCTCCCATCGCAAGTCTCCGTCTCATCGTCAAGACGAGTCTCCCGTGTCCTTGTCCAAACTCTCGCTCAGAAATGGGCAGAGCGACACGGAGAAGCTCGCTAATAAGTTCGAGGAGGGCCAGGATGTTTTAGCTCGCTGGTCTGATGGCTTGTTTTATCTGGGGACAATCACGAAGGTAACTGTCAAAGATTAAAAGCGTTAAAAAAACCCAGCAATAACAGTATTATTTAGTAAATAAAAAATTATAATCGTTTGCTGTGGCATCAGAGGAATAAAACACTTCCAGGGCGTTGACACGGTAACAGTAATCAACGTTGACATGGTAACAGTAACTCCGCTTCATCACAGCTCTTGGTTGTGGATTATTTTCCTATAAAAGCATAACACAGTGTCTTATTCCTTACTTATTACTATACTATAGAGGTTCACTAGCAGTTAATAATGTGGTAATAAATTGTCTTTGGCTAATTTTGGCCGCGTGTAAAAAGCCTGTGCATGTAATTGAAGTTTGGTTACGCTCTCTGACGTTTCGGCGCTCGCTTACGGAGCCGTGTGATGTGTTCTTCCTGCAGATAAACAAACAGAAGCACTGCTGTTTTGTGGTTTTTGAAGATCAGTCTAAATCTTGGGTTCTTTGGAAGGACATTCAGACAGGTAAGTGACTAAACCGTAGCGATACGCTGCTTAAATATTGCATTTGATTGGTTGCCATGTTGCATTTTACAGCTCCGCCCACACCTCACTTCACCGGTGTAAATCGTTAGCCCTCTCTGGGCGGGATTAAATTTACTGGGGTCCTAAAGCTGTAAACCTGCGATATTGGACTGTTATACAGCTATCATAGCAGGAATGTTTACATTTTATATATAACATTTAGACTGTGTGTGTCACATGATGCGTTCATTAAGATTTCATGACGAAAAGAATTTTTTTTCTTTTATGATGTAAGATTTTCAACCACGGCAACAAAAACGGGCCGATGAACCATTAGCTTAATGGTTAATTAATGCAGAAATTTTTATAATTTTATACTATGAGTTGATCCCTCAATTGATAGCAGAAATTGAGCTTTCCTGCTACCAATCGTTCTGTTATTACGATGGAACCAGAAACCTCCTGCCTTTACACTCGTATTTACTAAAGACACACGTTACAAATTTACATTTACGGTATTTGGCAGACGCCCTTATCCAGAGCGATTTATATAACTGAGCAGTCGAGGGGTAAGGGCCTGGCCCTCGGATATACATAATAGCCGGAGACATTTGATTGGTTGTCAAGTTAAGGGCCTCCTTCTTGCTCCAGGGCCCCGCAGTGGCAGTGCTGGGGTTTGAACTCATGACCTTCTGATCAGTAGTCTAATGTTTTAACCGCTGAGCTACAACTTCCACCTGAAGGCTGATCTCCTTTCTGAATCTGGCCACAAGCTGAAAATGGAGGTGATGATGATGGTTGTGTGTGTGTGTGTGTGTGTGTGTGTGTGTGTTTTACAGGGGACAGTGGAGGGGAGATGCTCTGCACCATATGCCAGAATGAAAGCTCAGATCCGCCCAACGAAATAGTCATCTGTGACAAGTGTGGACAAGGTACAGGCACACACAGGCTCCGTCTTCATCACACGCAACAGTGTGTTGATCTCTTTATGACCTTGGAGTGAGTGTTTGTGTGTGTGTGTGTGTGTGTGTGTGTGTGTGTGTGTGTGTGTGTGGGGTTCGGTACTTTGGTACCAAATAGTGTCACAAAGGACAGGGGACATGAGTATGTGTTCAAAATGGAGTAGTGTGATGAAGCAGAGTGACTGTTACGACCCTGGAGTTGATTATTTTTCTATAACATCATGTCCTGAAGTGTTTTATTCCCCTTGCGCCACAGCGGTTTGCCGAAACGTCACACTTTTTATCCGTTTGCAGTTACGTTTAGGGTTGTGGCAGTTATAAATAGTTGTTCCTTCGCCAGCCTCTCTCTTTCTCTCTCTCTCTCTCTCTCTCTCGATGTTAATAAACTCCTCCGTCCTGAAGATGTCAGATAACTTAAAGTTACAGTTTTACCTCTGACACTGGAGACTCCTTCCATTAATGTTAAATAAGCGTCTCCTCAGCATATCAGCGATTACAACGATTATATCTGCGAATGAGACGTTACCATAGAAACGATAATATGTACTGTAAACATATATGCATTAATATAAACTTGTGATTTGAAGCTGCACAACTGTCACAGCTGCTGTTATAGAAAATTAATCAACCAATCAGAATCGAGAATTCAGCAGCGCTGTGGTGTAAATGGAACACATTTTAACATCTTGTCTTTGTATTTGTTAGCAAAATCTATAATTTTTTTTTTATTTATGTTATCGTACAGGATACCACCAGCTCTGCCACGCGCCCGTCATCGATGCCTGCGTGATCGCGTCGGACGATAAATGGCTCTGCCGAGAGTGTGTGTTTGCCACAACTACAAAGGTTTGCTGCCGTGAAACTTTTTTATTTAATTTTTTTTGCTGTTAATACTGCCACAGGTTTATTTACAGGTTTATAGTTGTATATATGAGAAGCTTTCTGGTCCGGTAAAATCACTTGTACGCTGCTTTTCTACCTTACGCCATGTGTTGCATGTCCGTGATCATTTTATAATAAATGTACGTCTTTTGATAATAATGCAAACTGTTCCTTCCACTTGAGGAAAGATGTGGAAGGTTGGTAGGTTTGTTTATTCCGTCGCTTTGTCACTGCAGAGAGGTGGTGCGCTGAAGAAAGGGCCAAACGCCAAAGCGCTGCAGGAGATGAAGCAGTCGCTGCCGTACACCCTGGAGGAGCTGGTGTGGGACCAGGGCCATAAAACCAACATCCAGCAGTGCTACTGCTACTGTGGAGGGCCTGGAGAGTCAGTACAATACACTACACACACACACACACACACACACACACACATACACACACATACATACAGTTCTGTGCAAAAGTCTTAGGCACATGCAAAGAAATGCCGTAAAGTAAAGATGACTTCAAAAATAATGAAAGTAAATCTACTTAAAAGAAAAATACTACAACGTTCAATAAACAGTAATACACTAAACAATCTCAATGTTTGGTGTGAAGACTCTTTGCTTTTTTTTTTTTTTTTCCTTAAACAGTAGTCTCAGGTGCAGTGTGTGCAGTTTTATAAGGAAATGAGCTGTAAGTGTTACTGAGCATCTTGCAGAAGCAGCCACAGTTCTTCTGGAGACTTTGACTGTCGACTCGCTTCTTATTTCTGCCGCGAAACCCAGCAGCCTTCATTATGTTTTTTATCTGAAAAGTATCTCTTACGCAATCTGATGCTTTCTTTACTGACATACAAACTTTTTTCTGTAACATTATCTTTTTTTGGGAAAAGTAAGGTTTGGAAATTTGAGATGTTTTTGTACTGACTCGATAATGCAGAATCCGTAAAATAAAAATCTACAGCAAAATTTGTGCTAAAACTTTTGCACAGCACTGTATACACACACACACACACACACACACATCTGCAGTATATGGCCACCTGGCGATCACACCTATATGTGGTTCTTCCCCAAACTGTTACCAGGAAGTATCAGTAAAGAAATGACCCGCTTTTGTTCTGCTTAATCACAGAAAGTGTGTTCTCTTCCTCAGGTGGTATCTGAAAATGCTGCAGTGTAACAGATGTAAGCAGTGGTTCCACGAAGCGTGCATCCAGTGCTTACAGAGGCCCATGCTCAACGGAGACAGGTACAAAAAACACACACACACAAACATACACATATATACAGAGTGTCCCAAAAGTCTCCATACACAAGGGACTGTGTGTTCGCCAGCAGCACGTCGGTTGTGTCTTCGTCAGTGGATGTTGGTGGACGTCCACGTCTCAGTTGGTCCTCAACACTTCCAGTCTTTTTGAATTTGTTAATAAGTTTGGCGACAGCGTCGTGTGTGTGATGTGCTCGCCATGTTTCCTGTTAAAGTCCATCGCAACCTTGTGGCAGCTTCCCGATCCAGCCATGAGAACGATTTCAATATTTCCTTCTTTTGTCAAAGGCATTCTTAAAGGCTTTCTGGAAAAATATATATATATATATATATATATATATATATATATATATAAATAGTATAAACTAAGTATGAAATATTTGGAAGACATTTTGCTAAATAGTATTTATTTCCCCTTATGTATGGAGACTTTTGCTGTAGAGAGATATGTGTATATATATATATATATATATATATATATATATATATATATATATATATATATATATATATATATATATATATATATATATATATATATATAACATGGATAAGCACTTAATCCAGCACCTGTCATCTTCTTCGTCTTACATTTTATTTATATAAAATACATACATTTAAAATGCATCTTAAAGTGCTTTATAAAATAATAAAATGGCAATATAATGATGAAAAAAATATTTCATGCATTTAAAATACATCTCAAAGTGTTTTACAGTGCAAAGTAAATAAAAATATAAAGAAATAAATGATAAGTAATAATTATATTAGTTAAAACATGCAAATAACAACAAAATTATTAATAATAATAATAACAGTAATAATTTGTTTAGTACTTTTACTGTATACAGTGTGAAGTAAGAAATAAAGAAATATAAGGTAATAAACATGAAAGTACTATATGTAAATAATTGAATTAATAATATGCTTTACAGTGTGAAGTAAAAACAGAAATTAAAAAAAGAATCAAAATGTAGTCAAAATAAATAATAATAAAAAAAATTTAATTATAAAAGACTTTTCATGCATTTAACCTCAAATTGCTTTACAAAGACAAACAAAAAAAACAAAACAGTCAATAATAATGAAATAAATAAGAGCGGTGACAGAAAGAAGAACATAAAAACTGTATAAAATAATTTTTTTTTAAAAAAGTGTGAATTAAAAGTATAAGTATAATAATTAACATGGCAGTAACAATAAAAGATATTTGAAAGATGGAATATAAAATATAAAAATATTTTTAGTCTTTTTATTTTTTTTTTTGGGACGCAAGCAAATCCTAAACCTTGTGTTTTTTTCCTTTTTTTTTTTTTTTTCCTTCTCATGCAGGTTTTATCAGTTTATTTGTTCAGTTTGCAGTAGTGGACCAGAGTACCTCAAACGGCTGCCTCTGAGATGGTGAGTTTCAGGACAGGAGTTTTACGTGCAGTAAATATGCTTTAAAATGATAAATATCAGAAGTCCGGCTGCTTTTTTTTTCCTTAATTTTTTCCCCTCTGTGTATCTACAGGGTAGATGTTGCACACCTCAGCCTCTACAATCTGAGTGTTATTCACAAAAAGAAATATTTTGACTCCGAACTCGAGCTCATGGCTTTTATTAACGAGAACTGGGACAGGCTTCAGCTCGGCGAGGTACGTCTCGTTCTCTTCTCGTCTCGTCTCGTTTCGTATAATATATCGTCTGATCTGTTCACGTGAAATCTATTCAGCACCACTTGTCGTCTTCTGTTCCCTCTCCAGCTCACAGACACGCCCAAATCAGAGCGGTATGAAAAAATTCTGGAAGCACTTAATAGCAACCCGACCATGTAAGTCTATACGCAGAGTTTATCATTTATATTAGTGTGTATATATATTTAAAGTGTGTTAGGTCAGCGTGACGAGGTCTTGGGTTTCAGGTTCATGTCCGGGAAGGAGATCAAGAAGAAGAAACACCTGTTTGGGTTACGGATCCGCTTCCCTCCGGGCCCTCAGAACTCAGAACTGCCATCGGACAGGGAACAGGAAAAAGCCTCACATGAGATTAAGATTAAGGGCAGGAAGTCCATGAAGCCCCCTCATGCAAACAGGTAAAAATCATCATCATCATCATCATCATCATCCTGCCCTCGTACTAGCAAATGACAAGTCGCTTGTGGTTTGTCGTATGTGGGCGTGGCCTGTCCTGATTTTTTTTTTTTTCTGTTCTGATGAGAAATGGTAGTAGCTACAGAAAGCTAATTAGTTAAACACAAATTAAAAATGCACTAATCAATGCAAAAATCAGTTGTTTTCTGATTGAAATTTTGATTTACTTGCTACGTAACAACTCACCAGAGGCACCGACAATATCTGTAACTTCCTTCCGAGCTTTATTTTTTTTATTGTTTTATTCATACATTTTACTCTATGTACGTTTAATGAGAGATCGTATATGATGGGATAAGATCAAACCACGGTTGGGAATTAATGGGAACTTATCGCAGGTAGGAGCTAAAGTCGTGAGCGGGGGACTAAAGAAACGTCGGACCACACGCGCCACAGGATCGGTCCGAGGAATTTTTCGGACTTGTTGCTTCACCTTTTCCTGTGTCGTATCTAATTTGCGTTGTTGCTTGCTAGGATGAACGTTAACGGGTTAAGTGGAGTAATT